AAAAAAAAAAAAAAAAAAAAAAAAAAAAAAAAAAAAAAAAAAAAAAAACTTTTAAGAGAAAATAAAAACTCAAAATTTCTAAAAATTTATCATAATCAATTTAAAATTCACTGGGCGCCAAAAAAATATTTAAATAACATAAAAAAGAATATTGACAACGAGAAAAGAAAAAGTGAGGCTTCAATCTCAAGGCATCGCTTTTTAAACGCTCATTGGCGCGCCGCCGGTCCCAAAAGCCCTTATCCTTCCGTCTCCGACATTGCTTTTTTCAATAAATAATATATGAATTTTTTTTATTTTTTAATTTATTTATTTTATCTAAAAGGTAATAATGTTATCCAATACATTACTGGAAAGTTTTAGATGCTACTTACTTATCACATTAATTTATTTTCTTTCCATTATTTGACTTTAATCCTTTTTAGGTAATTTTTTTAAAAATTAAATTATAAATTTAGTCGACCGTGTTCATGTGATTGTGAGTCATTTAAGTTAACTAAAGTTTAGGGTGAATATAATCGATTGTTACAACATGCATAAGATCCCAGTGGAAAAAATTAATTAAATTTCAAAATTATACATGATTGATTATCCACTATGAAATTGAACCGTCTTCTTGTGTTTGAGTCAACTATGAAATTGAACCGTTGAGAAAATTAAAATTAAAATGAAAGTAGATTTTAACGATTTTTTTTTCTATGTAAATGAAACTTCCTCCATAAGATCTAAAATTTTCTTTACAAGATCTTTTCGATTTTGACTCAAAAAAACAGAACCGAGACTTATAAGAAGATGGAATGTGATGAGATGATTTTTGGCTCGATGGAAGGGTTTTAGGAGAATTTTGAATAATATATTTGAATATATATATATAACTGATTTGAATCTCCTTAAAATTTTAATTATTTTTTTTTTATTTAATGTACCTTAATAGTTTTAATATTTAATAGATAATTACAATAAATATATATTTTGTTTTATATTTAAAATATATTATACAAAATATTAACTAAAACTCCACAAATTAACTATATTTTCTCTTTTTATATTTAATATTTTAAATTTTGTTTGTTTTCTTAATAAAAATTTAATATAATTAGAATTTTTAAAATTTAAAAATGTTTTGAGAGATAATTTTATTGATTTAGTATATATAAAAATATAAAAATTTAACCTAAAAAAAAAAAAACTTGAATTCGGCGCTCTACGATTTTTCTGGGAAGGTTTCATTTCTTTCACAAAATCATAGTCAGGAGCTTCAAAATTGAGCGGAGCGACTGATTATCAGAACAGCGAGAAACCCCTGTTCTTGAGCGGATGATTGCAATCTCTCTAGCTCGCTCTGCAGTTTCCAGCCCCAATTCTTCAAAGCCATTTTTCCGGCTTTCACGACATGTAAGTTTCTCTCTCTCGCTCTCATCTGAATTCTGCACTCATATCTTGTTAATAGAAATCGTTTGTTAATCTCTGTATTTGATTGTTGATCACTTGCATTGGTTGGGAACACTTCCAATTGGCTAAAACTAAATTTCTTCGAAGAAATCTCTTAATGCTCGTTCGTTTTCTTTGTGCAGAGTCGGTCCTGGAGCTCCTATGGTCTTAATTCTGCTCTAGCTGCGAAAGGGGTGTTGGTTCAGGACCAGGCTTTTCTAAATTTGAAGCCCACCGAACTACTCCAGAAGGGTGCAACTCTTGCAGGTAGCTTCTTAAGTGTTCTGTTCTTGGTACTTTCATTTTATTGCATTTCTGTTTCTTATATCGTTTCTTTCTCTTTTAGAATCCTTATCAGGACTTCCCATTCATGTTAGGGGCCATGCACTTCGAGGGTCTTCAGAAATATCCAAGCCACAATTCACTAAACTTTTAAAGCAGGCATGCCCTTTAGCTTTTACCAATCTTTGTGTCTCTTTCTTATCAGCTGGCTGTTTTTTTTAGGTGAGATATGACGATAATAATGATATCCCACATCGGTTGGGGAAGCGAACGAAACACCCTTTATAAGGGTGTGGAAACCTCTCCCTAGCAGGCGCGTTTTAAAAACCTTGAGGGGAAGCCCGAAAGAGGAAGTCCAAAGAGGACAATATCTGCTACTGGTGAGCTTGGGTCGTTACAATAATAGACATCTTAAGAACCATAGTGTTGATGAGATGATTGGATTAGTATGGTTACAAATAGCAACACAATTAGGAATGCCTCTTTGAATTTTCTTTCAGAATTTCCTTTTGTCTCTAATTTTGGTGATCTTGTGTTAAATGGGGTTTTTTTTGCTTGGTTGTTCTTCGAATATGTGTTTTTAGTAGGAGTGCCTCTTTGAAGAAGAGTGCCATTGGAGGGTTGGCTGTTAGCTTTGTTCTTCTATCCTGCTATGGGGTTTCCATGTTTTGGTAGGAAGGCCGAAGCTTCTATCTCGATCATAGCTTAAGAGAATTAAGAGTATGGTTAAATTGGTGCTTTAGTTTCAGTTTGGGCTTTATGGCCAGTAATCTTGCTTTGAAGGTTGAAGTGATTTTGGTATACCATGGTCTTTTGTTTGTCAGAAGCTTTGCTATTTTAGAATCGATGTGATACAATGCCACTACAAGTGTACACACGTTACACTCGTGGCAAAAAGAAGCAGTCACGTATGGAATTCATTAGTTGAATTGTTCTTTATGCAGTTTTTTTTAGTTCCCGTATTGCAAGGAGTCCACCTTCATTTCTATTTTTAGTTATTTTCCTTGTGTTAGGAGGATGATTCTCCATGATTGAGTGATGGTATCATTGTTGTAGCAATGTTATTAGACAACTTGTATAAATAATCATAACATCAATAAAGATGGTACCTAAAAATTTCCAATAAGGCCCAGTAAAGCTGAAATCTCATTTTGATCTGTCAGCTTATTCAACTCTCATTCAAATTTGATTTTATTTGTCGTGTTAGGTAACGAGTCACATTTCTTCCATCTCAAATATTTATGTTCATGATGGTGCAATTGGATCAAGATCAAAATGTAACGTGAAAATTCGAATGATAAGTGATGGTCCTTCGACGATATTAGCATTTTCAAATATTGTATGGGAGACTACGACCCGGGCGATTTCTCACGATTCTTGTCCTCTGACAGTTTATGCTGCCGAATCTATAAGGTACATTTTTCTTTCCTTTTGATAAGTAACAAGAAGTTAAATAACAAAAAATCTCTTTTTAATGTTTATGAATGAAGAGGAATGATACAAAGGATGAAGAGTTCTTCATTTATAGCCGTTGAGTTTCACTTTTACCATGTAGCCCAGGGGTGGGAAATACAATTGGTCTTGGAGCTGGAGGAGATAATGGATTCATAGCTGCTGATATTGAGCGTTCAATGCTGATATTATGTGGAAAAGCTTTCTCAGATACAAATGGAACTAAAGAAACACTTGTTGCTTTATCCGAACCTGTGATATTTGCACGCGGAGGACTTCCTCTTCCTGCAAGGTAAGGTATACTTTTTGGGCGATTTTTTTTGCACTCAAATTGACGACGAGCTTCTCGAGCCTTATTGGTACAATTTTTACTTGTGTTCCATACCCT